GAGAGATTTCATAATAATGAAAGGTACTTATGAAGATATAAGAATCCTCATTGCTCAAATGTCTGGTCACAGAGCTTTAACATGCCTGAAACAGAATAGAAGCTGTGAGAGCTGAAGGAGCAGCAGAAGGGTGTAGGTCCCATTGTGTACCCCTGCCACACCCCCGTGTCTGCGCTCTGTGTGCTAGAACCCAGTTCACAAGCTTCGGGCAAGGGGCTGGAGGTTGAGAATACACACGCAGAGACAGATCGACACACGGACCTCCAAACACTGGTTCAGAAAGCCCCCTTTTTATTAACACCATGTAGGCTTGAATACACTGCAGTCAATGACCAACAGGTGATAATCCCATCCTCTGATCCTCTAAACTAGGCACAGTTTCTAGTGACTTTAATTAGAAGGTTCTAGGAGGGAAGAGCAGCTGAAAGCCAGAACTCATTAGTCCCAACATCCAGCTGAAGGCCAGGACTCATTAATCCCAACATACCCCAGTTCTCTGTACTGGAGTGTGGCGAGGACCTGTAGACAGGGAGACATGAACATTACCACTAACCACCTTGACCCTTTCAAGGAACTCTCCTCCAATGAAAGTAGAACACATACTCTTTTCACATGCATATGACATCTTCCCCAAGAGAAGGACCACAAAATAAATCTCAGCAAATTTAAGACTTAAAAAAAAATCATAGAGAACTAAGCTTTCTGAGTGAATATAGCAATGTTTCTGGATTAAAAAGTCACTATAAAAAGCATAGGAACTTCTGAATACTAGCCATGGGCGATTAGAAAACAAAAGTATTAGATGTTCCTATTTACAGTGGCACTAAAATGAACTATTTAGGTATGGATAGCTCACTAACATGGCAAAGTCTTTGTGGAAGGAGCCAAAGATAAGCTGAAGAAATTGGGTGCGGTGCCACGCTCACATATTGGAGGAGTTGGTGATCTTAGGGTTTCCGTTGCTTTCTGAATCAAGGTATGGAATGAATACTAACCTAAGTACTAGCAGGCTTTGGGGAAATTGGCAAGATTTTTGTAGCATCTGTGTGGAAATTAGACAGACTCTAAACTGGCCAAAGAAATCTTTAAAGGAAAAGATGGAGGCTGATCTTACAGTTTGCTCTAATGTTACTGGAGTCAGGATGGTGCAATATTGATGTTAGGAATTGACAGGAAGATCAATGGAATCAAAGGGGGGCATCTGGAAATAGACTTGTGAAGCCATCAATTGATTTTAGAAAAAGATGCCGTAATAAAGCAGTGACATGACAAGTCTGTTTTTAGTAAATAGTGCTGGGACAACTCGTCAACGTGGAAGACCAGTCTTGCCTCTGACCATGTCTGAATGCTGCTTCACATGGACCAGAGACAGATATATTTAAAGCTATAAAATTCCAAGGAGAAAATTCTGCAGAAAACTTTTGTGATTCCCAGGCAGGCAAAGATTTCTAAGACAAAAATAAAATACAATGAAATAAAAAAAATTTAAAAAATTCTAAGGCATAGGTGCTGATAGTGAACTCCTTAAATCTCCGCACAAGGGGAGAAGGCTGAGGAATTCAATCAAGGTCTTCCTCAGCTGTGTAGTGAGTCTGAGGCCAGCCTGGGACACATGAGATCCTGTCTCAAAAGACAAACAGGCCAAAAGCAGCACCCATTGAAGAGACAGTGAAAAGATTCAACTTTACCAAAGTTTAAAACTTTTTTTCGAAAGCCAGTGTGAAGAAAATGAAAAAAAAAAAAAACAGTTCATGGAGGGCAAAAAATGTATATAATGTATGCTCATAGAGGGTTAAGAATGTATATAATATATACTCACAGAGGGTTAAAATGTATATAATACATTTGCAGAGGGCAAATGTATATAATGTATGCTCACAGGGGGTAAAATGTACATAATGTATACTCACAGAGGGTAAATGTATATAATGTGTACTCGCAGAGGGTAAAAATATATATGATGTCTATTCACAGAGGGTAAAAAAGTGTATATCCAAGACTTGATCAGATGTATACATTTAGCATGTATAAAGGAGTATTCAAGAAGATAACACACTACATAATAGACAAAATATCTGAATGGATCTTCATTTAAAAAATATGTGATTAGCCAAGTAGCCCTTGCATATTGTTAGTAATTAAAGAAATGCTAATTAAAGCCACAGTAACGGCACTGTGCTCCTATTGGGACAACTGGGTGTAAAGAGACCAAATGGTAGCCAACACGTGGGCTAATTGAAACTCTTGTATACCACTTCTAAAAATGTAAACAGTAAAACCAGTTAGAAAGTTTCCCCCCACTTCCTTCCAGCATTATAAACATTTACCACGTGACCCTATTACTAGCTTTCTGGTATTTATCCAAGGAAATAAAAAAAATGTGGCCATAGGAAGACTTTCTTCAAAATAGAGGAAAACTGAAAATAGCTTAACACCACAGAACAGGTAAATTGATAAAATCATCATGGTGTGTTTACTTAATTGAATATTTTATTTAACAGTAAAAGAAACTTATAAATGTAACAGCTTGGGTGAATCTCAAAAAATATGATAAGCAAAAAAGCATGCCATGTGGTTCCTTCATATTGTCTAAAAATGGGACCACCTCTGTAGGTGAGTGGCCCTTCAGTGGGAGCCATGCTTAGGGAGGGGCGGGGCTTGAGAGGCTGGAGCCCTCTGTCTTGTCTCTTACATCTCCTTACACGGTTGTCATAACTCAGCTAATTTAATCCTTAAGCAGGTGCATTCCTCATGTAAACTAAGCTGTGGTGAAGTTGATTGTAACAATAAAGTAGCTTAAGGTACAGCTAGACTCAATGGTATTTCGTTAGTATAAAAAAACTCACGGATTGTTTTTCTGTAAAATAGTAATCCAGTTCCTACCACAATGAAAAAAAAAAACCACAAAGTAAAATTCTCAATAAATTATGATTGGTTGTGACAAGAGCAGAAGAAAAATTATAGGAAAGAAAAGGAGGGGAGCAATGATGATATCTTTGAATCAAATTTCCCGTATTGCTGCTTCCTCCTCCTTTTGTTCAGGTGCTGACGTACATGGCTCTTCGTTGCTGCTATTGATAGGAGTGGAGAGAAACGGACTGTAGACTCTGAGATCAGGGAGGGCAGAGCTCTGAGATTCTGAAGTTTTCTCATTTAACTGAGAGGGAAACTGAGCCCTGGAGAAGAGCACTTCATAGCTCATGCCAGCTACAAGTGGCAGCGGGCTTCTCTCCGGCTCGGCCTCTTCTGTAGTAGCAGAGACACTAGTCACCTGTTTTCATGAACACTGTTAAAAAATGGAGTGTAATGAGGTTCATATCGCAAAGCTCCAGTGCATGGGAGCACTCCTCAGTCACCCCGTTCTGGGGAGCACTCCTCAGTCACCCTGTGTGGGGAGAACTCTTTAGCCACCCTGTGCTGGGAATCAATCCTCAGTCACCCCATTCTGGGGAACACTCCTCAGCCACCCCGTGCTGGCAATCAGTTCTCAGTCATCCCGTGCTGGGGAGCAGTCCTCAGCCACCCGTGCAGGGAACACATCTCAGTCACCCCGTGCTGGGGAGCAGTCCTCAAGCACTACCTGCAGAAGTTGTTTTTCTAACCCGTAGGGTTGAACACATTTACAGGGTTTGAAGTTTGCCCTTCTTCCCTTTACTTGTTTTCTCTGAAGCTGTGAACTTGGTTTTTGGAAGAAAGATTCTTTTTGGCATTGGCCTTGCTGTAGGAGTTTACAGTCATTTTTAAAAGCCAGCATACTAAGAATCCTGTCCTGCCTTGATCAGTTTCCCCAATTCAACTCAAGCTGGCGCCCCATCAGCCTGGCTGTTTTCTCTCCTGGGCCCTTGCTAATCTCTGTCCTGGAGTGACAGAGCTGTGCCCAATCAGGCCAGCAATCAGACCACCCTGTGTTTTATGAGCCTAGTGTCTGGGTGACCCAGAGGACTGTCAAGGAGGGGGCAGGATTTCTGTTTTGGCTGCTAATTAAACTTTAAAAACCTTTTCTTTGTTGCTGGGCCAATCATTCCCACAATCTGATTGGCAAGAGGTAATGCTGTTTGCAATGGGCAAATTTATATTTACTCTAAAAAAAATGAGCAGCCGTTCCAAAGAAAAAAATATTTATTTAAAAAAGCAAAAGTAACTGTCAAACGAGATTGTCCAAAAATAGTGATATCCAGAAAACCTTCTGAAAGTCGGGAAAAAAAACCTTATCATTGCTGCCAGATGTAACATTACTCATGTTCCAGAAGAGAAAATGGTGGTATTGATGCCTTCCCTTAGATACCTCTTTTAGCCTTTACACACCGCAGCTCCTTGGCATCTATCTGTGGTCCTTATTGTTTTGACAAATACCCCAGGGAGGCTGCAGGTGGCGCATGTCAGTGTGTGCAGGGAGTGCTGTGACACATTAAGACGTGGGACTTTGAAGTTATCCGTCTATTTACTCCTCCGGACATTTCTTGGGTGCTTTGTGTGTGTCAGGAACTGTTTTAGGAACCAAGCCTGAAACAGGCAAAATGGACAGATGACTCACTGCCCTCATGGAACCTACATCTTATCCTCTTCGGCCCCAGTGTCTGGATTCAAATGTTACCCTGCCACTGGTGGCCCGACCATAGGCAGATGAACCTTTCCTGTCAACGTGTATGTAAAGGGGTCTTGATAACGCTGTAGGAGAAGACTTTTGTGAGGGCGAGCATGGTGGCAGATGTGAAGTGCTTAGCATACAATTCGGGCTCTCAAGCCATGACTACCATTGTGAGAATGCCCTTTGTTCTTACTGAGTCCCCGCTCCTGGTTGCTTTGGTGGCATCCATCAGAGGTCCTTCAGGTAAGCAGAGCAGGCTGAGGTCCCATGGCTAGGTTCTCACCTTTGTTTAGCTGCCTCTTATTTAGTTAGCCGTCACCCAGAATTAGTCCTTGTTAAATAATGACTAATATCATCCTGTTTTACCTACCTGGATGACAGGCTAACACGTGTTTCTCTCTTCCTCTTTCAGATTGTTTAGTGTCATTTTGGAACAATTAACCAAAGAAACAGAAGGCGGGAACCACTCTAGTGGCAAATCAGGAGGCTTTGATGTCAAAGCCCTCCGTGCCTTCCGAGTGTTAAGACCACTTCGACTTGTATCAGGAGTACCCAGTAAGCACATTTCGCTTCCTACCCCCCAGGAGTACTGCGTCTTCCCTGTTGGGTGGGTCTCAAGATCAGGAGAGAGAGTGTGCTCTGAGGTGGGGGCTCAGCAGCAGTGGCCCTTCCTTGATGCTGGAGGACTTGCACACCATCACAGTGGCTCTCTGGGACATTTCTGAAAGAGGGACAGGTGGTGTTTATTGCCACTTTTCAGAGTCTTTTCACGAAGAGAAGCTGGGTGGCAGTGGGCTTCTGACCTCTGGT